TCATATCTCTCTCTCCTCCCCTCCTCCTCTCTCTCTCTCTTAAAAACCACAGTCTGTAAAAATGTTAAACTGTGTTTTATATTATGATATAACAGATTGTGTATTAAATATAGAATTAAAAAAAAAAAAATATTGTACGACTTACTATATTGCTTATTTCCAAGCGATAATTAGTTCGTTCTGCTTTCAGTTATGTAAATCGCGCTTCATTTATTTTATTTGGATTTAAAAAAAACAGACAAGCGAAATGCTTGTATAACAAATAACATTCCGATAAAAACTTACAAAACGAAATTTACACATTTCTTAACGCACGATCACGCACGATTAAAACCGCAAACGATTGAGTCTGATACACGCACGATACACGAACGATCACACACGTTACACGAACGATTCTACACGATTGGTTTGTCAACAATAACGTTGCAGCCACTGTAAAATAGACCAGGCTTCTCTCTCTGTATATACTTGATGGAATAATACTTAAGATGAATGATCAGTCATACTAATCATTTACTGTACGTACAGCATCTCACAGTCATAACAATCTAGACAATACACATTTAACAACATACGAAAACTTGGCTGATTCTTCAGAAACACAAGTTTAGGTCGTCCAGTGTGGTAGGATATTTCTAACTAGGCTAATTACGTGTAATTTATATTATAAGTATCTCACCGTCTTTGCTTTCTTCTTTACCTTTTAAAATGTTGCCGCCATACAACTAGCTGAAATCCGTCGTAACGTAGTACGCGCTTGCTTATATATCCTCCTATCCCATGTCACATGACACAAATTATCTAATGAAAATATGCCGTACGAACTATCAACCAATCAACAGCTTGTACGGGAAGCTGAGTTCCCACACAAGTTCCCACATAGAACTACTTTTGCCACACAAGCTACCGTACAATATCGTAACAAATATAACAATGTAAAATTAACAACTGGAAATAGAATACATAAAATAAACTTGACTAGACGAATAAAGTTTATAAAACATCCCTAGCCTGTACAACAGATACTGAACAATGGAGCGTATGAATATCGTAACTACCAACCATAGCGTAAACAAATGTAGTCCCGATTAAGCTGACTGATAATAAAGTTCATGCGGACAATAAAGAACTACATATAGCCTAGCTAAAAATGCACAACAACTCAAATTAAAATGTAGAATCTGATCTAATATTCAAAACTTGAATCTTAGATTACTATAGTAAATATGTCACTAAACCGGAAATGACGATCCGAGTAAAGTATGATGGCTACCAAAACATGAAATGTAAAATCCACCCTCTTATCCCCGACTTTACATGAAGCAACAACTGATAAAATATGATGATAATAGTTATTACTATTTTACTACAATCGTATCAAGATAAGCTGAGATATTATTTACAATAAAATTGTAAACGAACAACTTTTCTGGCAGGCACATGGTGAACATAGATTTAAGAAGTATGAGAACTGGACGACCGCACAATATAACGTATAAAATTAAGTGATATATATTATTACAATATATTACAATATGTTGCTCGTTTTTTAAGGCGAACATATGTTTAAGAACATATGTTGAACGTATGTTCAACATATGTTAAACATACGTTGCAATTTTACCTGTGTAACAATTTAGAAAAGTTAATATCCAGGGCCTTAAGTTTGTAAAATGTGAAGATAACGAACAGTGATCAATTTCATAAGTTCAGAAATACATGTACAAATCGTGTACAGGGCAAAAACACGGGACCTGGAAACAGTGGTGCGATCAGATGCCTTGGAGGAGTTAGCATTCCCTGTCAACAGGTCACACCCGCCGTAAGCCGCCTGTATTTAAAAGGTATCCCGAGCAATCCCGCTGCCACTAGTTATCCCTTTAAAAAGTTATCTGTTATTAAACCTTGCTTTCCACACAATTAAAAAAGCACCTTTTGTAAAATGCTCTTTTAAAATCATTTAGGAGGAAAATATTTCCGTTTTCCCACCTTATGTAAAGTCTTTTTTAAATTGATTATTTATCATTGCAAATTCTTGTATTCATTGAAAATATTACATGTATTTAACTAGTTCTAATTGTAACGGAGAGACCGTTACAGCTCCCCCTACTCCTTTGTGGTGCCCAATTCCCTCTCATTTATTCTTGATGATTTCCTTGCCTCGGGGCAACCAAATGAGATTTTCTCAAATCTGAGGATTCTCATAAAAATTTTCGGTCATCGAACTGTGCCACCAAATAAATATTTTCTCAAACTCAGGCTTGTCTTTTGAGTATTTTCTCAAATCTAATACTTTTTTTATACTTTTTCTTGGGGCTTTGTGTGCCAGAGGGTACGAAGAGGATAGGTTTTTTTTAAAACATGCGTGCCACCAAAGTTTATTCTACTCAGTTGAGAAAAAAATTTGAGATTTTTCAGAAAATCTTGAGCTTAGTATGAAGTAGTCTCAAGCAAAATCTCTCAATTATTTTATGGTAAGATGATCGGAAATGTTATGACAGTGCAAACTTTAATTCATTTATACATAAACTTAACGTTCAAGCGCAGAAACCGTGTTAATTTCTCAAATATTAAATAGATCATCCTGTGATATGCAGTATTTACGTATGGTGGTGGGGAATGTACATGTAGCTATTCTCACTCGCTCTCGCTTTTTTTCATGTAAATTACACACAAATATTAAAAGAATGTTGTAAACAATCCAATGCATGTCCGAATACTTACGTGCTTTTTGAAATAATTTCAGAATTACTATTTATTAATCCCTAATGATAGCAGTGTGTCTAATTTGGTTCTTGACTTTATATATAAAATTTTCGAAACAAAAAAAAGAAGTATGGTTCTTAGTGTTGAAAATTACATGATGACGCAGTGAAACTATTTTTTTACAATATGATATTAGGGATTAATCAGTTAATCATCATTTGATGAGCTTGATTTGGGTTTTCAGTGTAACGACGAATATTGGCCTCTTTATTCGTTGATATTAAATCTAAAAAAGGAACAATAAATTTATGTGTCATTTTCTCACATCGTAGAAAATACGATGTGTTATATAGTCTCTTCCCTATACATGCCTGTAGTTCAGTTTCAGGTTCTTGTCTTCAGGGTGGGTGGTTCTTGACCTGAAAATTGCTGATAATTGTATCAAATTTTCTTTATAAGGGTCAGATAAGGGTTATGTTAAAACAAAACATGCATATGTTAACCGTCCCTGAACATGTTCTCTGTCGCCGAGTTGGCAGCATTTAAGTCATATTTTGGCGATAAAATTTATTTCCTTTTACCGCTAAAAATCATATTTTTTAAAAAATTATTCTAAATACGAAAAGTCCCTGACTGATATATTTTTGATTTGCAGAATTGAATGTTACAGATATACTGACGTTTTTCAAAAGAAAGAAAAATGTGTTAAATATCACATTGATTAATTTTATTTGGTCTGGAAATATAGTCTCGATCCGCCTACTTTTTTCGTATTCTTTCTACACGTATCGTCACAATCGCGAAAGTGACGCCTCGGTGTATGTTTCTGTATGTTTATTTCGACAGACGAGCTAATCTACAAGATTTGGATATTTTATTGTGTTATTCTGCTGTAGAATTTTTTTTTTACGAGATCTCGATGAACATTTATTGTCATAATGGAATTTTTTCCGTTGAATGCCTCGAAACAGCTTATAAAAGATAAAGGAAATTGCTAAGTTTTAAGCTGCAATTCACATTTTAAGAGATGTACCAACCGGGAGTTCCTAGATTCTATGACTCAAAACGACATGAACTCAAAATGACTACGTCAATGAAAAATTACATGTAATAAAACACGTTAAGTAAAGAAAAATACCCCTAGTCTGTTTGAAAGTATCAGGGGCACTTCTTTATTATGGTGAAAAATGAGTATACGCATTTTTAGACAAATCCATGCAATAGTCTCAAAGAAAAGGTCCAGACAAAATCCTGTCTACAGACACACGGCCAGGCTGATTCAAACCCCCCGCCCAGAAAACTTCGTTTAGGGGTGTATAAAAAGGAAGCAGCGCGTTTGTAACAAAGCAGCGGCGAGAAACGACAACGTTAAGCACGAAGAGATATCGCGTCAGTACCTTGTTCAGAACGCCACGGCGCATTGTTACTAAGGCACTGTTACACTTTTTCCATTGGCCCTATCTGGAACCATTTGCACAAGAAAAGTTTACCAATTTATATTGCAAGAAATGAAATTTTAAATATCTTAACCCATTTTATTTATATTTGGACTTCTACTGACATTGGATGAAAAAATACAATACTTAAATGCTATAATTGTAAAGATATGCACAAATTTATCTGCATCATGTCCAATACTTTAAAAACATGCAATTCAGATGTTTACAAATGTGTTTTTGCATTTCTTTTACATATATATAAGCTGTATGATAAATCTGATGCCATATATGCTATGTAATAATCATTTTTTATTGTCAGTCAGAATTCATGGCTAATTACTTAAAAAGGTCTGGTAATTTTTCACTCTGAATAATTTCCAAAACTTTACAATATAAAACAAAACAAAAACTAACAGAATACAGATATTTTATAATTTTTATAAAATTTCAAATAAGAAAAACCGTACGATACATTTTAAAGAAATATAATAGTAACATACACTGTATATACATTCATTCTTCTCTTCGAATATAAAGAATATATCACATTTATGTTACTAATTTTATTTTTTCAATCGCCATTTAACCCTTGTCAAGGATTGCAACCCTTTGGCATGCTTAAGATCGGTTTTTTCTGGTTTTCGAAAAAGAGTAGGCTCAAAGATTATAATATTTACATTCATACGGCCGAAATGTTGCCGAATCGGCGTAAAACAACAATAATCAATCAATTAGTCAATCGCCATTTCGTAGTTTGCTGCGAAATCTATGAAGAAATAATTTATCCACGTTGACATACTAGAGAAGAATACAAGTATGGGAGGAAAATGATTCAGAAAAAAATCTACTAAATTAATAAGAATCGACACATGTGTCTGGTAGCACTGCTTTTCCTGCAAACCCATGACCGTCGGCTAATCTATGACCATACACGACCAGCCCAAAAGCAGCATCATTTGTAGATTTAATTCTTAACATTCCTCCCGACACTTGTAAAACTAGTACGTCAAATTTGATATCCCTGATTGTCACAGTGGCATAGAATTTCCTGTCATACAAGTACTGTATGATTTCTGTATCATTTAATACAAGGCTGTACAGTGATTTTTCCTCAACCATCAAAGCAATGTAACTTTTTTCATAATTTACAGGAACTGTCACTAGATATTTATCTGTATATTGCCTAATTCCTGGTACAGTAATCATATAAGAATCACCTGTAAAGTCAGATCCAGTAGCGAAACCAGTGACTAATACTGGCTTTTCAGAATCTATAACAACAACTTCATCATGCAAAAAAGTGATTTCAAAGTATCCACTTTGTTTAAGTGATTTTTCTGTTTGTTTATGTCCAATCTTATATATAATGCGGTTGTCAAAAGGAGACACGATTTTTAAAATTGTTTCCTTGCTGTTATAGTTAGGTGGGACTATATACATGTTATCCAGTCTATCAATAGGTGGAAGTTGTTCATCAAGCTTACTGCAAGATCCAAACCCGGTGCTGTTTTCAAAAGCTAATTCTTGGCAGTGACGTCCAGAAAAGACTGCAACGGGCGATGATGCTTCGATTAATGTTCCCGATGTATCTACTTCGTGCCATATTTCATACGTTTCAAGAGCATTTAAAACGAGAAGCATCACACTACCATTTCGGTATCTTATTCCATCTATTTCTATTGGAAAATCAGGATTAAAATGAAAATGAATTTTGATTACATTTCCTTTTTCTTGAGAGGCTATTGCAAATTGTGAATTTGCAGAGTTGTTGTTAAATAGGCGGTAGGCAGTAGAAATGACGTATGAGTTCGATATCGACTTTATTGGTAAAATGAGAGTGCTATCCGATGAGTAAATATAATTATCAATTATGATGACAGACACGTCCTTAGTCGTCTCGATCAGTAGTGCCTTTTGTTCGATTTTGAAATCAAACAGCGCAATCGTATTTGTGACTTTAAGCTCCTTTAAGTTTCTAGATCTCGTCACCACTTCATTGTAAAGCTGTGTTGAATCTAAAAACTTCGAAATCAATTTAAACTCAAATTCTTCATCCGATAAAATATAAACAGTTTTGCTTTGGAATTTAGCGTATGGATGATTGTCAGTAAAACAGATCAGAAATCGACGCCCTTGAGTTCCTGAAAAAAAGGAATTGATGAACATCCATAATTGATATTGTATTAACTAATATTGACATTGTAACAGATTAAACGACTTTGAAGTGTTTGCTAAAAGTTCTAGGATTAACCGTAAAAAGAGTACTTCGTACCTGTTTTCCCTGCCTCGGGATAGCTCATTCCTTTTGAAGGCACATTGGGACAAACCATTGTTTCCGTGTTATCTGTTTCACATTCAAGATAGATATTACTTAAAGTGTTGATACAAACATAATTGAGGATAGCGACTTCTATAAACTTACTTGTAAGAAAAGAGAAAATTCGAATTGAAATCTGTACATTCGAATCAAATATTAATGTGAAACTTCTTCAGAATACTTTTGTACCGCAATTCCATGAGATAATGGCAACTAAAAATTTGGCGGTATCATCATGAGAAATAAGTTCTAACAGAGAATTTAAAGGGGGAAAATGCATTTAAAAATGCCAAATTGTGGCATTTAAAGAGGCAGAAAAAAGTTGTGTAAGCTTTATGTCAAGGTTTTTGATAATATCCAGAAATAAACACAACTTCGTTCATCCCAGAGTCGAACCATAAAACATTATACATGCTTTTTTTTTAATGTCGCATTGAAATACGTCTCTGAAAGTTAATTAGTTTTTTTTCGATTTTTAGTGAAAAAGCCCTATTGTTTTCGCCTTATTATCACTTTTATAGGTCACCCGAGCCACTCAGGTGACCTATTGCTATCTCTTTTCGTCCGTCGTCGTGCGTCGTTCGTAAACTTTGGAACATTTTCAGCTCTTTCTCTGAATCCAGTGAACCAATTTCAACCAATTTTGGCATATAGCATCTATGTGTGAAGGGGAACAAACATTGTGAAATTCGTGGCCCCAGACCCCCCCCCCCCCCCCGAGGCCTGAGGGGTGGAGCCAAAACAACTAAAATTAATGCAATCTTAATCTATTTTACTCCTGTACATCAAGAAGTCAAACTGTTGGCATGATTGTTATAAGCATTTAGCCAACTACCTAAATTATGAAATTCGTGGCCCCAGGCTCCGGGGTTCTAGCGAAGTGCGGTGCTCTGTAGACTACGTAGTGAAAATGCATTATTCCTTAAAAAATCTTCTCTGCTCCTAGGTACTCAGCAAACAAACTAAATGCATAGTCGTGATGAGCAAGAGTGTTTCTTCCAGAATTGTGAGTTTCATGGCCCCTGGGTCAGATGTTCTTATATAAGGGTGAGGCTCTATTGATAATATAATGAAAATGCATTATATAATTCTATTTATTAATCTTGTCTTTTCCTTAGTGTTGAGCATACATGTAGTTATGATGAACAAGAATGCTTCTAACAGAATCTTAAGAGAAGTTATCCCCCTTTTCCTTTCACGTTTGATAAATAATCATTGTAAATAATTTATTTGATAGGTTAATAGACTAAGAGAATTATGCAAGAATTTTTATTTTATAATACAAAAAGGACTTCTGCCAGAAGCACCGACTTTTACTATCGACGGCTTACTTTGACATTTAAACTTGCGTTATGTACGGAGGTACAGAATTGAAAATGGAAAAGAGAACTTTAATAGTAGTTGTAGGTATGTTGTTAGAGTCGCGAACATGATTTACCGGTATAAAATCAACATAAGAGGTTATGGGAGACAGAATAACATAACTAAAATCTTATTTTTGAGGGGCAGTATCTTCTTTTATACCATTTTCTAAAGAAATAAAAAAAAGAAGAAAAACACATTTCGGAAGGAAAACTAGGCTGGAGTTGGTCAAGGAGGGAAGGGAGGAGGTTAAAGCTAGGGTGGCTGCCGTTCCATCCACAGACAACGTATTATATGCTTTGAAATTACTCATCATTTTTTTAAATTAACTTTAAGCTAAATATATCGCACAAGAGCTTCCGTATATTGTCCTAGTGTAAAAGTAAGCCGTCGCTTGTAAAAGTCAGTGCTTCTCGCAAAAGTCCATTAATAGATAAATAAAAATGAGACAAAAATAACTTCAAAAGCTTGGATTAGTCATAAAAATAAAAATAAAGAAGCCTGATCAGGTAGTGTAGATTCAATTTAAATCAAATCATGACCCCATGGTGAAGGTGGGGAATGGCGGGACCACAATGGTAACATTTACATTGGCCGATTGCTTCCTCTTTTTAGAGTTGTGGCGCTTAATGGCGCTTCACTTTTTATGCGTTTAGAAGCTCTCCGTTATTTATTCACAAAAAGATCTAGTACATGTATCCGCTTCTCATATTTAATATATGAAGACTTATCCATACATGTCTATCTACAGTGTATGTACATACATGTATAATTGAATATACACGAAGTTTAAATACAGGTTGTTTATTTTACTTTTAATATATGAATAAGTTCCAGTTAATTAAAATCACATTTTTTCTTCCTTTCAGTAACTAAAGATTTTGAATTATAAAATGTATTCAATCATTTTTATGCATATTTATTTTCAAAAAGAGAATATTTTTCCGCTTTAATTTACTTTACATTTAATTGTTACTTACAAACTTATTATTGTATATATCACCCACAGACCTTTAAATCGCTTTAATTCGACTTCCAATAAAAACGGAATGAGTTTGAAAAACACTGATGCCCCCGAATGGCAACTCATAGCAAAGGTTAAACTTTCTCAAATGCAAATCAAATATGTTGGTACCAAAAGTAAGGTTTTGTCTCGAGGAATAAACCTGTGAAATAGGAAAGAACTGACAGCAACAATTAAATAGATATGGAAAAGGTTAAAGTTTTTTCAAACGTATGTCAAACATCAAGGTCAAGGTCAAAATTAATGGAGTCCAAGGAAAGCCCTACGAAATACACAGGTGAAATATAAAAGCCAAAGCACAAACCATTCAAAAATTATGGTCAAGGTTCAAGTTTTCCAAAAGTAGGTCAAACTCCAAGGTCAAAGTTATTGGTATCCAGAGAAAGGTCTTGTCACAAGGATTACATATGTCAAGTATGAAAGCACTAGCACCAACCGTTCAAAAGTTATGGCCAAGGTTAAAGTTTTCCAAAAGTAGGTCAAATTCCAAGGTCAAGGTCAAAGTTGTTGGTATCCAAAAGAAGGGCTTGTCCCAAGAATTACATATGTGAGGTATGAAAGCCCTAGCACCAACCGTTCAAAAGTTATGGCCAAGGTTAAAGTTTTTAAAAAGAAGGTCAAACTCCTAGTTCAAGGTCAAAAGGTCAAAGTTGCTGAGTCCAAAGGAAGGTCATGTCACAAAGATTACACATGTGAAGAATGAAAGTCGTTGCACAAATTGTTCAAAAGTTATGGCCAAGGTTAAAGTTTGGTAAAATTTTGCAAAACTGGGTCAAACTCAAAGGTCAAATATGATGGTCAGCCATTCTCCAGAAATGGTTCCAAATATGTAAAAATGGTGTCGCTTGCATTTAATACAAAATTATTTTTTCCTACTTAATGTAAATTACTGAAACTTTACTCAAAATATGTCTACAACAAAATTTAAAAATTTAGGTACCAATTATTATGCATTTGAAGTGTTAGATTATTTCCAAATATTCCTATGAAAAATAGTTTTGTTCGTTTCTCAGCATGTCGTAAGTGCATATTCCAATTTTAATACTCTACTGAGTGGCATATACTTGAAGAAATAGACAATTAAAACTTAGTCTTTATTTTAGCATCACAAAACCTGTTTTTTCAGTAAGACACAATCAGAAATCAAACATTCTTTCTTCATTTACCCCGATTTATATATTGTCGCTGAAACAGGCCTGATTTCCGTAACGCGTGATTGATTTGAAAGGAAGTGATTGTATTCAAACGAATATCTATGGATAGTATCGTAATTAAAAGTAAAAGGCACACCAGAAGAAAAATATATACCTCTGAAAGTCGAAAATGTATGGGTTTTTTTAAATTTTTGGTTAAAAAAGGAATATTGAGTTTGACGCATTTTAAAGCCTGACTTCCGTAACGCCATTTTCAACCAAATTAATGACATTTGACAAACTTATTCGTTATGTTTTTGAAGAATACAATGATCCAATGCTATGTACGCTTATCTACAGAAAATGACGACGATAACGTGGTAAATAGAGAGGGAAAATGACTAAAAATCCTGATCGGCGTAACGTATGACATCCGTAACAATATTTTCAAACAAAAATTATCGGGTTCGGCTTTCCATTATTGACATAAAGATTGTTCAGCGAAGTAGAACACGAGTTAGCATGTAACGAAATTTTGAAATTACCGAACTTAAGCGATTATTGTATGAAGCAAAGCGTATATTTGAGGAAAATATGACAAGGGTGCGTTAAAATGTTGAATAAATACGAATGGATATGTGTGGAATTGTCTGATTTAGTGTATACTCATTTGCAAGAAGTATATCTGCTGTAGACTAAAGCCATTTCACCTAAGTCAATTAATCATTTGACATTATTTTTAGAAATTTTCTGTAGCGTTACGTATGTCAGGGGAAAAAAATCAGATTTCATACCTATACTTTCTAGTGCTTATAAAGTGTTTTCTAAATTTTATTATTCATTCTTATGTTCTAAAATCTAAAAAGTGATAATTATTACTGCGTATTATGCTTTGGATGTTTTATTCCATTGATATATTCGAGCACCAAACTTATTGATTTACACAATATGTGATCAGATATTTGTGTATCAGACATATTTGAAAAAATTACCAAGTGAACAAAATTTATTTGGCACTTTGAAATATTGTATTGATATGCACATATGAAAATTGTATTGTGTACAGATTAAATTATTTGTTTAATACTCTCTGGTAGCAAATTTATTCTAAATAGTATTGGTTACGGTTATCAGGTTTTATGAGACCTGACACCCATAACCAATCTTACTTGGAATAAATGACTTCTCTTAAGGAAAAACAAAAATATTTAATTTAGCTTATACCAATGCATAATTATATGCATTATTTACAGAATGCTATTAACAAATGCAGAAAGACAGAAAAGATGGAGAGAAAGAAGAGTGAAAATATATGAATGTATTTAGTAAATGAGTGAGAGAGAAAACGGAAGGCTTACATAAGTGTTTTAGAGTAAAATCAAAGGGAACTGAAAGTCCTATTATAGATGCAAGCAAAGAAAAGCAGAAGAGGTGGTAGGGAGTTCTTGAAGTTGGAATGAAGGCACAGTGAAACTATCTAGGAAAAAGCCACGCTAGGGGAACGCCATGAGTTAGGAACTAGTGTTAAATGAGCTACAGTTTATTCTCACTAGTGGTATATTGGAAAAGTTACAGAGAGAAATTATGAAGAGTAGGAGGTTCGGGTGAACTCCATGACCAAAGTGTGCAAATATGGAAAAATATATAAGTAGCCATTTGAAAAAAAGAGATATGGATTCAGTCAGCTCATATTTTAATGGTGATAAGCCCCCCCCCCCCCACTTCCCCAATTCCTCTAGGGAAAATATCCAGTTTTTTTTAACTTGAAAAGGAAGTTGACTTAGTTGAGGAAACTATAAACAATAAATTTCAAGACTATTGTAAGATATCTTCAGAGTAATTATTTGCAAGAGGAGACTTTCTGACATCCGTAACAGAGTTGTGAGACATATAGAAGCTTTCAAATTTTCAAAAATATACTATATATTATTATCTTTTGAACTTACAAAATTGTAGACTGTAGATCTATCAGAGCATGTAATTTTTGTACATTTCTTCACTATTTTTAGACAAATAAACCAGAATTCTACATTTTTTAAATTCATATAATTGCTGTTTACTGACAAGAATTCGCTTATTTTCAAGTTCAAATTACATTAAGTAATCAATAATTTCTATGACGTATAATCTGTATTTGATTTTTATTCTCTACTATTCAGTTGAAAAATGTATTTGAAGCTTATACTCCTAGAAAATGTTCACATGCTGACATCCGTAACTTTTATGGTCATTATTTTTGAAGATCTCTCAATTTAAATTTGTGAAATAAAATTTTCTTAACTTCTCTGCATAAGTGTTTCATGGATTTGGTGTTTTATTTAAAATACCTGAATATAAGATATTCTTCATAGTTTGCTTTCAAATTTGAATGAAAGTTAATACATAGTTGTCTTTTTGGTGTGAAAAATAGGGATTTTGTTGAGACATGAGTATTTTTCCAAAATATATGTCTTGAAGTTTAATTCTTAAAAATTTTGACAGAATTAAAATAGGTCTTCTGTAAAATAACAAATAAAGTGCTCTGTGATGTTTATTTTTTGTGTTTCGACCTATGATTAGTGGCGTGTATTTACTTCTGACTTCCGTAACATGATTTTAAGTACTGTCTTTAAAATCAAATTTTTCGAAAACGAAGAAACATCCATGAGTCCAATTTCATATTTATGTCGGTGAATGGTTGTAGTAAAATATTTTAACAATTTGAACACAACAATCAAAAGTTTATTTTTCAACTTTTGCTATCCTATTAATGGAACCATTTCTGGAGAATGGCTGTGGTACCCAAAGAAAGGTCTTGTCACGTGAAATATGAAAGCCATAGCTTCAACCAATCAAAAGTTACGGACAAGGTTAATGTTTTTGCGGACAAACAGACACACAGACAGACGGACGGACAGGGCAAAAACTATATACCCCCGAATCTTCGATACGGGGGCATAAGAAAACTTGAAGTGTTAGAAAAATTAAATGTATGGAACTCCTTATAAAGTGCACCCACTTTCGACAAAAATACTTTGAAATCAAGGGGTCTAACATTTTACTTTCTAAAAATAAGTAGGTTAATTTTATAATTGATTACAAATCTCGAAAAATACATGGAAATTCGGATTGAACTATGGCAGTACTGTAGATTGTTTATATATGAATAGAAAGTAAAATTTAAAAGCGTTTAAGTTGTTCCATTCTTTATCGTTTTTATACACCCTAATAAACGTTTTGCAGTCGGATTAACGCTACCCAAAGGCCTGTGGTATACATACTCTTGAATTGTTCGTCTCCATCTTGACCCTGTATTGTAAGCGACGTAACAGCTGACACGACAGCAACAATTATAACTACTGCAACAGCTCCAAGAACAAGTCTCTTTTTTGTCAAAAATCCTATTCTGACGGTGCTTTCAGACGTGTCCCTCGACTGAAAAAATAAATAACCAGAAATTAATGAAAATAGTTATTTGACGCAAATTTCCATATCCAACAGTTTGTTTTAAAAATTACACAAAGCCCTTCGCTGATTTTATTAATAATGATTCGGCTTACCCCAGGTGTTTTTGTGGCCTGATTCATATCATTATTCCTATTTCCATCATTTATATCGCCCAGTGTTTCATATCCTTCATTTTCGTTACCAGTGTTGCGCCTTATCTATAGAGAAAAAAATTCAAACTATTTATATTTTCACAATGGAAGTTTTGTATCACTTAAATAAGATTAAAATACACATATTTACATGTATAATCTATTTAACATTATTTATTAATCTAATCAAGATTAATATATATGGCTAAATTGTCCTACATATTTAATTTCTTTGTTAACTACGTTGAAAATAGAATATTTATTTGAAAATAAGTCATTTTAGCGTATTTATTTTTATCGGTGGTGGTGGGTTACCCCAAAATAAAAGTCAGATCCATCTTCTATGCCTCTGCTTTGTCGGCTCACGATGCTTGTATAGAGATTATCTGGTTGTTCAACGTCCTAAAATAACATTTGTACGTTAATACTTTCAATATGAACATCAGTATTTTCCAAAGCTTAGCAGACATTTTACAAAATATTTTAATGCGGTTTTCTTATTTCGTTCATTTTACCAACCATGTTAATTCTGAGTTATACATCCTGAACAAATAAGCTAAATCTTAAGTTGATAGCATAATTAGATAAATACCGGACAAATTCTAAACTTGCTTAATAATATGAAATATATGAATAATTTGTCTTCGTCCATTTGCTCAGTCACATTTTTATTAGATTTCCTTTAGTTGACGCTTGCTTTACATAAGCATGTCTATGAGCTTTGATGAGTATTCTATCCGTGTCAGAAGGAACATGATGAGAAACAAAAACATACTGATCATGGTTTTTCGTTTTTGTAATATAAATCAAGGGTGAACAAATGAAATATATGAAGATAACGAACAGCATTCAGGTTCAAAAGTCCATCAAACAATGCAAAATGGGAGCAGAGCAAACACGGACCTCCAAACATCAGAGGTGGGATCAGGTGCCATGGAGGAGTGAGCATCGCCTATATCCATTATCCCAGAGCACTCCGCAGAGATAATAATTTTTTTCACATTGAAACGATCTTGAGGCTTCAACTCTTCTTTTCTTTTTGTTTGATATTTCTTCGTAACATTTTAGGATTCAAAAAGGCATGAATTCTCTCCATTTTTAAACTCCCTTTATAAACTTGCGTGCTAATCAGTTATGCTACCGCAATGTCAAATTCTCTTACAGATCGTTGTGCATTATATATTCAGTACCAACGTATGGACTGTATACGTTAACTAATCCATAATAAAAGATACTGGGTAGTATAGCACCTTTGCTTTCATTAAAATTATATATTTTTTTTTCCCAAAAATGTTTAAATCAAGGATAAACTAATGTTCCGGGGACATATTTTTGCATTAGGTCCATTGTCTGAACAGTTGTACTCAGCTCTTCACAGAAATTAATTTATGCCTGCTGCACCGCCTAGACTTTCCCGTCATGGTGAGATTTTTATAGCCCAATAGTTTAAGTTTTTTTTATATCCTATTTCTGACTTGAATAAATTAAAGTCAAGATACAGATCGAATTATGAAGTGTATAGCTTTATGAATTTTGTCTGAGTCAACCAGGATAATGCCATAAACCTGAGACGAGCTCACTTTTGATCTCAGTCTCACTTTTCCACTATATATTCCTTTTGTAAAAGTGAGACTAAGATCAAAAGTTAGCTCGTCTCAGATATATGGCCCCGGAGTCAGGACTTAGTTACTGAAGAATTCCAACAACTGATGTCGAGACTGCGCCGGATACACCTACCTTTGGCACATTATTAGATCATTCAATGGAAGTATTAAATTATTTATGAAATACTCATATATACCATTGTTTTTTTTTTCCAGATAAATCTGCTACCAAATTTCGTAAGAAAACGTTGAGTAGAAAAGGGATTATCTCTTAAATCTTCTAGATTTTACAATGATGTATTAAATTTCTCAATATGACTTTAAAAAGACACCTGTAAATTTTTAAATCAAGATAAATGGAAAGAAAAGTTCAATAAAATACCCAATGGTTTTAAATCATTTCACCCTATGACTTAAGATAAAACACCTATAAATTACCTGATCAAAATAAAAGGGAAAAATGATAAAACTCTTTCGCTTATGGTCTTTAATGTATAGTAGGGCAAATGTTGATATATTTTGTATATTCTCAACTTGGTACTTATAAAATGAGATTTACAAAACGGGGGGAAAACCAAATTAAGGAAAATTTTTGAAAGAATCATAGATTTTTGACCAGATGCATTTTGGCATATATTCATCTTTTTTTATTGTTTTATTTATTTATTTATTTTTTTTTTTGTTTTGTTTTTTTTTTCTTGGTTTCTTTGTTTGCTTTTTGGGGTTTACATCGCATGAAAATGACACTTTTCCCATAGTTGTCTTTTCGAAATCAATTATATTATATAACTAAAAAAGTCTCAGTAAAGCTTTTTTCTTTTGATGTATGGAATTTAAATTCATTTTCCCTACTACGACTCTTTGTTATGTTTTTTGCTATTTATTTATGGAATGCCTCTAAATGGTTCGAGATATCTAAACAGAAAAATGCAGAAACATGTTTAATCGGTTTTTTTTTTCAACGAAATACCGTGATATCATCAATGTTCATGGGGGAGCAATGTTCGTGGATTACCCTTATTCACGAATTTACATGCCCATGAACATTCATTTGGTCAACATTTTGAATCTTCTGTGTATACGAGGTACCCACGAAATAACGTACTCAGGAAATCAACAAATTTGTTTGTTCTCGAACATTGACCCCCACGAATTGAAATGATTCCACAGCAAAGACAATCGGATCCAATTTGTGTGCCTTTGCTTTGATTGTCCACACAGCTTACATATGAATTCATTGGTCGATCGTTTGCTTAAGATTTCAATAGATACATAAATATTAAATAAAAATTAATAATTATCAAAATTCTATCATAATGTACTCGTAAACTAAAGAGAGAAGACAATTCAAAATAAAGTGAAAAGGGAGGAATATGTTAGAGTTATACTTCTATTATACATTGACTTGTCGTTTAAGAACCTATCAGAACATTTCTCGTTGCCAGGAATTTGTGAAAGAAATGTTGCATTTTAAGAAATAAAAAAAAAACAACTTTATATTCAGAGTGTTTGATAATTTGATACTTTGTGAATTATTTATTGAGACTGAGGTTAAATAATAGTAACAGTAATGTTGTGTTCATAAAAACGTAACGTAAATACAACCGTTTCTATTAAGGAGGAATGCCAGACCTAAATTTTATTTTATAGGTTATTAGACATCCTTGTTAAGTTATGATTTCACCATTGAAAGGCCGATATAAGCTCTTAATTATTTTATAAGAATTTTTTTGTACCAATCAAAAATGAAACAAGAGATGTTTGAGAAACTTAACCCCCCCCCCCCCCCCCCCAAGTGCAACCTCTGCAATGAAAATGAAGGGAAACTGCAGATAATTGGAATTTTTTAAGTCCAAGGGGCATAACTCTGTCAGAAATTGCTCGAACATATCCCAAACAAAACTTGACCTCAATCATATTCCAAACAAAACTTGACCTAGATATTCTTATGATAATTCTGTATACCAAATTTCATTTCAGTATATGCAAACTCTGCGAAGACATACCGACAGACAGACAGAAACAAAGAAATATACCCCCACCCCCCTTCTTCTAAGGGGAGCATAAAAATTTATTTATTTGCAATAAGATGCTTTAGAGTTAAACTTTTGTTGTTAATAAATGCATTATATGAATTTCTAATAAAATATGTTAAAGAAAAGCCAGATAGACATTTTAATTCTTTTACTAATTTTTTTTTTAAATAAAACACATTATTTGTGAATATTTTCAAAACCTAGAAATAACAAATTCAAAAAACAAATCACAGCTACAAAGGATATGTTAAATAATAATATTTTAAAAAGATTCAAAATTTTACAGAAAATTTTTTAAATTTTGACCAATTCCGATCGAAATTTTACTGATCCCAAACAGAATATTATAATGATAGGTTTACAAAATATTCACAAATAATGTGTTTAATTTCATAAATATTTTTTTTTATTTATAAAAAAAATTAAATGTCTATCCAGTCTTCCGTTACATATTTTATTAGACATTCATATTATGCATTTACTTAAAGCAAATATTAAACCATAAAGCGTCTTATTTGCAAATATTTTTTTTTTCATTTTTTTCTGAACCCCCCCCCCCCTTCAAAACGTATAAAATAATCAAGAACTAATATCGGTCTTTTAATGCTGAAACCATTGTTTAAAGGGGATGTCTTAAAGATCTATTTAATCAAATTCTGTTGTTGCATTCCTCCTTAATCTATTTCATCAGGTTGTAATTGTTTATGAATCAAATTGTGCAATGTAAAAAGTAACAGGCATTATTCATATTTATCTAATTTTACGAATCTTTCCTACTAAATGTGTCATGAACTAAAATAACGAAAGATCGTTTATTAGATAGATAAATTGTCGACTAAACTGCTGAAAACAAAGGCAACGCGAAGCGGAGCAACCACTCGCAAAATGCATATCTATTAATAAAAACAGTATTCGACATCAATCCCATTGGCGGACCGAGAGGGGATTTCCGGTGGTTGGAAACCCACCTTTATTTTTGCAGAGAGGGGAGTGGGGTAGAGGATGTTTTTTTCTGCAATAGATATTTGAATGTCTAATACGTTTAAATAAAAGATTTAGTTCATCTGTTCGCTATATAGAGTCTCGCGCATTTGCTTTGAATTCCTCCGTGTACCTACACAACCCCTTTCGGGGCCCAAACAAGCTAAAAGTTACATGCAAGGTCTTAATTTGATATCATTATGATCATCAAAAGAATCCAGCAAAGTCTGGCTATACCATGTTTGGACCATCTTCTGAAGTAACTAACACAAGAGAATTTTTCTCTCCTTATAGTATTGGGATAATTTTATCAACGAAGAAAAAGTTTATGACATCACCGTTGTACGCAGGGAGGGAAGAGGGGACCCCGGCATGTCATTTTTTCTAAGAATAATCTTTCGATGTAGTTATAGTATGCAAGTTTATTTCGATGCCCCCCCCCCCGATACACCTTTAGTTGCCGGACGGTCAACATACGCAAATTTAAGCATTTGGAAGAAAAAAGAATTTACCAAGGAATTTGAAAAATAGGATTTTTGAGTGTGGTGCGCACAGTTTAACTTTCTTTTGGCTTGTAAACTCTTTTCGGAGCCCCCCCCCCCCCTTTATAGAAAAAAAAAATGTTGTCTTGGGCCTATTGGGCCTAAAGTACCTGTGGTGTGATTTTATGTAAGTGTTGGGGGCATTGATCTGGCACAACCCATTCAAAAATCTGGATCAGCCCCCGAGTTTTCAAGTTTTTCAAAAAAGAAAGATAGGGAGAAGGGCGTGTTGTGGGACGGATGAGACCGTATAAACCGAGGTCCCGTGTCGCAGTAGGTCCTGGCACGAAAAAGATTCCTCACTGCTCAAATGCAGTAAGTGCCGAGTATAGGACAAAATTTGCAGCTCTCCACCGGCAAGCGGTGGCGTCTTCATATG